AGTGGCCACCCTGCCCGCGGTCTGTGGAGTGGTCGCCATCTGACGTGGCATTCAATTGTCAGGAGATGCTGGCCATGTTTCGAGTTCTGAAACACTTTCTCCAAGACCTAAGAGGTCACCATGTGTTGGTGCTCACCGACAACACAGCATTCAGCTCCACTGGGGCTGGATGCCATGGTACAGACGTGGCCGAGGCTTCGTCTGTATGCCTTTCCTCCGATTTTGCTGCTCCCGGGAGTTCTGGAGAGAGTGCGCCGGGACAGGACCTGTCTGTTGTTAGTATCCCCGTTCTGGCCGGGCCGAGTTGGGTCTCAGGCCTGATTTCTCTCCTCGACGGCGCTCTTGGGAGATTCCTGTCAGGAGAGATCTCCTCTCACAGGCGGAGGGCACGCCCCCGCCCGGAGCTGTGGAAGCTGTGGGTGTGGCCTCTGAGGAGGCACAATTCATAACTTCCAGTCTCTCAACTGAGGTTGTTGAGACTATCCTCCATCCAGGGTAGATGCACCGGGGACCTGATTATAGCACTTAAAACCTGGAAAAGTCAGATTTTCATGATATGTCACCTTTAAGATGTAGAGATAGCTGCCAGATCAGTGTTCGTTCCAGGGCCATCATGTGCCTATTTTTTTATTTGAGGGGACAACAGTGAGGGTCCTGGCTTACTTGGTGCCCTAGACGAAATAACACATGAACAAAGACGTTATTTAGAAACGTATTGGTTTATTGTGAAAGTCTAAGATTTGTTAGACTAGTACTGCAGTTTGAAATTCAGCAAGCCTGGGAAGTGGAACTCTTGTTTTTTGTTGTTGTTGTTGTTTTTTAATTGTACACTGTAAAAATGTTTGTAATTTAAAAAAATGTTAAAGTAAAAATCTGTTAATTGTAAACTGTAAATTATCTTACCATACATATTATGGTCAAAAACTAAATGGTTTAACATCACATTATACGTACTTTTACTGTAAAATAATGTCAAATGTATGGTTTCTGCAAGTAAAAACTGTAATTTACAGTGAAAAACAGTAACAGGACATTCCCAGTAGTCCCTGAGTGACAAAACGATTTTTATTTAATATAAATTATATTGTATAGTTAGAATGTTAAGTTTGACATTTTCTGTTATCTATTACTTAGTTAATGTTCATTGCATTATATGTTTTATGGACAGGCCTTTCATTTTGTTTCTTTCTATTTTACCACCTGTATTAAAGGTAAAAAGCAGATTTTGGTAGTTCACATAGATAGGTATATTAACTTTATATCACTTCATGAAATATAGAGTCATACGTAGTAAAAAAAATACAAGCGCCAATATGCCATACTTGAAACATGAAACTGTCATTTTTTTTTTACTGTGAATTTCTGGCACCCGAAGTTGTGCCTTTTTTTTTAATGATAAATTTAACAAAGAGTAGCTTTGACTTGACAGTTTCTTAACTCTGTGTTTAAAGTCATATATGTTTCAAGCAACTTGAGTGTGGGTAGATAATGACTCTTTCATTGTGCTTTACTTTGCAAATGAATTGCAGAAGGTGCAACTTATGCAATATTTATTGAAGTTGTGTTACAAAAGCACTGGGCTTAGAAGTCTGAAGGGGCTTGAATAGGTATGACGCTTCTTTTTGGTCCCTGTACCTTTAGGAAGACTCATCTCTCACTGTGTGAAAGCTCACTAGCTGCTCTAACATAACAAATTGCAGGTGCATTTGATCTGGAGCGTCTTATTAAACTCCTCAAGGACAGTTCCTGGAGCGCCTCTCTCAAGAGTACAGATTTCTATTTTTTTTTAGTCAGTATGTGATCTTTGCTAGGTTTCCATCAGCCAATAGCCTAACACAACTGTATTTATATGAAAAAGATACCCATAAAGTGTGGATGATAGGTGTTATAGCAGTTATAAAGAGAAAATGGTTTTGCCATATTTATCATTACAATTGAGAAATGGCTTCACGTTTAGTTCATGGGCTGCTTGGCTGAATTCACACTACTTCTGCACGAGTAGCCGTTGTCTTTTTGACACCAGTATCCCACAGGATTTCATTACTTTACAGCAGGTTGTGCTTGTGGTATTATGGAATGTGTTTGTAATCCTGTTACCCAAAGACTGAGCATAGTAAAAAAAGCTGTAAGACACACTCTTCAGCAACCTACTCTCCTCCAGACACAATCATGTCATGACCACAGTGTTTATCCAGTAGAAACTAGAGCAAAGACACATTCAATCAACAGGGTGGTCAAAGGATTATAGGTAAATATTTTTGTCATTAGACTCGTTACCATTTCATCACTCTTCTACAGTGAGGGATTAATCCCGCGGTTTGCTTTGTTTTGTAACAAAACTATTTAGGATAGATAAAATATGGATATATATCTAAGTGAATGGAGTTAACTTTAAGTTAAAAAAGTGAGAAAATTTCTAAAAGTGTTCTTGAGGAGCCAATTTAATCCTTGGATAATTACTGCTGTCTTCTCCATAATGCCATCCAGTTTATGTTTTTCCCCCAGTCCTCAGTTATGATGGTTCATTTGCTTTGATCATCACTTCTATACATTTATAATTTGTTGCATATATTTTCTACACACTTTTTTCTGGTCATACTTAGTCACAATTCTGTCATCATTTACTCACCCTCATTTTATTCCAAACCTGTATGATCTGCTTCTGTGTTTTTTGTCCATACAGTGAAAGTCAATGTTGTTTTCAAACTCGATGATTTTTATTGAATAGACAAAAACAGGTGAAACATTCTTCAAAATATCTTCTAATGTTTTCTATAGAAGAAAGTAAGTCATACAGGTTTGAAACGACATGATGGTAAATGATTTTAATTTTTGGGTGAATTATCCCTTTAAGGAAACATTTACTACACTGTTTGTTCTTCTGTGATTTATTTCCTAACAGAGTCCAACTATAGAGAAGGACAGTTTGGCAACTATAGCCTCCAGGTCCAGTCAGACCAGGGCTGTACCTTTGGTTTCTCCATCAGGACATAAACCGAGTCACCATGACCCGCCAGCCATCCCAGCAGCACCCCAAACCAGCACAGCAGCCTCATTCTTCCTCAGGTAAGCCTAAAAGGTTGGCGATGTGTTTTGCACAGTGCATAGCCATCAGTTCAGCTAATCGTGCTCTGTGGATCCCAGTTTCAATGTCCTGGTCCCTTAGCACCTCCTCAGGCCCTCACTCCCAAGGACCCAGAATCCTCCATTGCCTCTGGCAGTCACGTCACGGCAATGCTTTCTCAGTGCCCATGGAGACTGCAGCGATGTTGAAGGCAGTTCAGCCTAATGTGTTGAAATGTCATCGATCAATGCTCAGGCTTAGCAGTCCGAGAGAGTGCAAAATTCAAATGGCAGAGGTCTCAGAGCTGGACTGGCCATGTATCCGCAGGGATAATGGTTAATCGCTATGTAACAGACCAATTGTTTGCCAAAATTGTTCTTGAGGATTGATGTTTTAGTGTAACGTATCTAGTACATGAATGTATGTATATATTATTTAGTGTAACTAAAATACATTCTATGCACATACAATTAACAAAATATACATTAAAAACATTTAAATAAAAAAACATATATTATAAATATTTTTAATTTAAATTTTTTAATCTTGTACTTTAATTGAAGGAAAAACACCTGACCATATGTACAAAGAACTTCACACAGTCAGTGTCTCAAATTTAGTTAATGGATTAATGCCATAGAAATGGTGCTGAATGTTCAATATGCCCAAAATCTTATATCATGATATGATTCATTTTATTTAATGGTAATGAGATAAATGTACTCATATGGTTATTTCTGCTTAAAATATAGTTATTTTTTTCTTTTAAAAATTTTTGATACCATAGAAATTTCATAAATCTTTTCACCAGTGTCAATATCACAAAAAAAAACAAAAAAAACCCCGAATATCCTAAATGTAAAAAAACAAAAAACCCTCAAGCTCACTGAAGACAAGTAAACAGTCAGCGATTAAATAAGAATAAAAAACTAATTACACGAAATAGGACAAAAAACTACAATAGAACAAATAAATAAGAAATGCTACATACATTATATAAAGTTATGAAATGTATAAAACGCTGCATATTCTTCACTGTGTAAATTAAATGCATATTTCTTCTTATTAAAGTTACAAAAGTGATTTAGTCGAGAGCAGTAAGTTTTTCTCTCTTTTGTTATTTGATCAACATGAATGACAGACAGCAGGAATATTAGACTGCTGTCACTTTAAGAGCTGCCCGGATCACACGTGTTTTCTTTGTCAGCTGTTTGCTTTCACTTAAGACCTAAATTACTGTGTTTACGAGGATACTTGCAAAGATGGCATTTTAACACATACAAGTGTGTGTATTTAATTGTTCAAGGCCTATAAAAATAACTATGAGCACCATCTTCATTTGCGCACCTGTATGACAGCACTCAGAAACGGTGTCTCAGACAACACGCACATATAGCGAAATGAGTTCTCTTAGGCTGCTGATTTCGTTTCAGTGGCTTAAAATAACTTGTTTTTAAACTGCAATGCTTGAAACATGTGCAAACGATAAGTTTTAGTGATCACATAGCACAGCAACAACACCTGAGCATGTAACCGTGATAGAGACGATAGTCCGGTTGACAAATTTCTACCAGTTAATCGTGTCTACCGAATACCGCCTAATCTTTTTCATTACGTTTTTAGGGTAAAAAACGTCAAAATCCTAAAACTTTGTTTATTAGCAGGTTTAAATTGAATTTTGAATCCCATATTTCTAATATGCTTTCATACTTTTGGTTCCCACTAATGATCAAAAACTGAGGCAGGTTCTCAGGTGCACAGGGTAGGATGAAAAAGATACAGATAAACAGAATTCTGTCTCTCTATTTGTCATCATTATTTTGGTCAACAAAAAGACAAAGCAACAATCAACAACAGTGGCTCACCTAATAAACACAGGCAGGAGTTTGTGTCTGTGACCGAATGTCTGGGAATAGAATGAGATGCTCAGAAGTGCGAGACACTAATTGCTGTGTGACACTGCATACAATTAGCCTATTGACAGCAGCGCTCCTCATCTCTATCTCACCACCTTCAGTACCACCTTCTGTAAATGACTGACAGACATCACCCCAGGGGGTTTGCCTTGGCCATTACGTTCCCTTAAAAAAAGTAATAAAGCGGCAGTGGGTTAGTCATGCCATTGATTTTAGACACTGATCACTGTATGACCTGTGCTTCTGTGTGCATCATTAGGTCTTACCGCTAATCTTTTTCCATTTGAGTTGACCCGCATCTAGTGAATTAGTATGCACTGTCAGCTAAAGCACATCTGTCTTTTTGATGCCCAGTGCACACAGTGGTTGATAAATAAGGTGGGTCATAAGGGAAGCCTTTGGCAGTGATTTCTGTGTACACCCAGTCAGTCCAAAATCCTGCGAATGAAAGAATGTGCTATTATGTAAATGAGGCACGACTGACAAATAGAAATTTTGAATATTGCTTAGACTGCCTGTGGCAAAATATCCATATTCATGGCAAAATGTTTTCATGCTTTCCTCAATTATACAAGTCAGAGCAGCTCAAATGTCAGGTGTTGGGCTCATGTCCTCTCCCTGGCCTTGACTTCCACCTGGAACTCACACCTCGCACAGGGTCTTTAAAAACAAGTTGCCATGGTTGCACAGTTGTGAAAGAAAGAGAGGCAGAAAAGGCTAAATAATTATGAGAGAGGAGGTGGAGAGGTGATCAGAAACATATAATTTAGGACCCCCTGTTGCTTTTTTTTCTCTGTTGAAGGCATGTTTTTTTAAAACTGAATTGGAATATTTATATATTTCCTTTCCTGAGTATTAGCCTTCCAATTGTTTGTACTTACAGCAGAATGGGACCATAGATGATATGTAAATTACCTGTACACACAATAAAACTGCAAATGCGATAAGATGTTATGGATGTTAAGGAGATTAGGTTAAAAGTAAAAAGAAAAAAATCCCATTTGTCAACTTGGTTGGCATTTTGAGGGGGAATGACAGGATGGGATCAGCACAGATCAACTAGGAAGTTTGTGTGACTAGACTCCTTAAATGGGTAATTCTCAAAATATGGTGGCAAACATTTCCCTTAAGTTTTCGGTCATAAATTTAAGTTTGACTTTTTTATTGTTTTGCATGTTTGTACATCTAAGATCGTCCAGTGCCTGAAAAACCATTGTCCCCTTTCTTTCTTTCTTTCTTTCTTTCTTTCTTTCTTTCTTTCTGTCTGTCTGTCTGTCGGTCTGTCTGTCTGTCTATCGGTCTGTCATACTATCTATCATGCTACTGGTCTGTCGTTCTATCTGTCTTTCGTTTTATCTGTCGTTCTTTCTATCTATGTATCTATTGTTTTATCTATCATTCTATATGTCATTCTTCGACGTTCTATCTATAATTTTTATCTGTTTTATCTTAATCATTTTGTTTTAGCGTTTATGCTTAACCTGGCCTGAAAAAAAACATGTCCCATTTATTTATTAGAAAACAAAAAAGTAGTTAGTAATATATTAGTAATAAACAAAATTAATATTACACATTATTTAAAAAAAAAATTGTGTATTGTTTCCATGTCACGATTATTATCAAACCTGTTCTTTAAAAATACAAAGAGTACTTACGATCACAGTTCAGAGTAACAAAAGGCTTAAATTTTCCCACCATTTTGAAGAAGTTATTAATTAATAAGTTATTAATTTATTTGGAAAGTCAACTTTTTTTTGAGAATGACCCAGTTAGAGCTTCCCGTATTCCTATTGTGCTCCTATTGGGCCATCCAAGCCTTGCGTCTGTGCGAATGAAGGTTTTCAACTCTGGAGGCATACTGTGGTTTCCGTGACCTTTAACCCCAGTTGTTTTCCTTACAGATACAGATCAAGGATGGTTGTTGTGACAGATTCCCTTCCTCTCATCTGTTTGAAAGTGGCAGTCTAGTAAACACGCCAGAGGGAGTGTAAGAACAGATACAGACACACACACATTCTCACCCACAGATTTGCCTGGGAGGTTTCAGGTATAAAGTTGTTCTTTATTTTCTGATATAGCACAGCATAACCTTAAGTGAAGAGGTGAGCACTCAGCTCTGGTGATGGAGGTATATTTACACTTATCTCCTGCAGTCAGCAGCCTTATGGCCTTTAGGATCACGACTGAATATAGCAGATCAGTGTTCTGTTTTATAGCAAACATATATGTGTCATGTATTGTGTGTGATATACTTCACATCATGCATGAGGCTGAATTGTGCAGAGGTGTGCAAAAACCAAGTACCAGGAACAAGTGGGTTTTTATGACTGAAGGCCAGCTGTAATCTTGCCTTTAAAGATTTACAGATAAAAGCAGAGTGGCTTCTCTATTCCCGTAGATGGGGACCGTCTCTCTCCGGCTTTGATGTCACCCTGTGGACGAGGGCTTCTCTCATGTGCTTTTCCATGGGCTTTCATCGGCACGCTGAGTGTGTATTATCTGCTGGAGTCATGCACCACATTATTGTCCTGCTGACTGCTATGCTGAAATGTATAATCGTCAGGGAACAACAGAGCCGACACCTGTTTGCACTGAATGAAAGTGCTCGTAATAAATGCAGGGGTCGGGAATGCATCTTCTGTTACCTGCTTTTAACAAAAGCTTTTAGGTTTACAATAACCTCTCTCTCTTTGTGTGATAGTATATGCACTTTGTAGAAATGTGTTCGGCTTATCGCGGTTAGGAAAAGTTATAACCTGTAGAACTTCCTAAAGGCAGGGGCGTGTCGCTTCAATACAAAATTCAATGCAACAAGATTTACTGCAGCAAAGCAGTATAAATACAAAGCTTCCGTAATATAAACTGACATTGTTTTGTTATCAATTTGCATTAGGCTAGATGTGGGTGACTTTGCTTCTTCAGTAGAACACAAACAAAGATTTTTAACTCAAGCCGTTGCAGTCTATCAGTCTTATAATGGCAGTCAATTGGGCTCCACGGCTTTGAGAGTAAAAAAAAACATACACAGACAAAACCAAATTAAACCCTGCAGCTTGTGACGATACATTGAGGTCTTAAGACACGAA